CTACCTAGTTGCAGTATGCATGCGCTCAAAACTCTCGACGGTGCATAACACACGTCGAAGTCGAACGCCACGACCCAACATTGAGCAACTACGGGACACCGGAGTTGCCCAGGACTACGCGCAGCAGCTGGAAGTTGCACTACCCACGGAAGAGCAGCTTGGCGCAGCTTCTCTTGAAGATGGCTGGAGGGACATCCGTTCAGCCATAGGTAGTACTGCTGTAGCGGCACTAGGTACTGCAATCCCGGACCGAAGAAATGACTGGTTTGACGGCGAATGCAAACTGTTAGTAGAGGAGAAGAATGCAGCACGGGCGAGAATGCTGCAACACCGCACGAGATTGAATGTGGAGCGATACAGACAAGCGCGGAACAGACAAAACTCGGTTTTCCGAAGGAAGAAGCGTCAGCAGGAAGATCGAGATCGCGAGGCGATGGAAAATCTGTACCGCGTAAACGACACACGGAAGTTCTACGAGAAGCTAAATAGTTCGCGCAAAGGCTACGTGCCGCAAGCCGATATGTGCAAGGACTTGGACGGTAACCTTCTCACGAACGAGTGTGAGGTGATTGAGAGGTGGAAGCAGTACTATGACGAGCACCTCAACGGTGAAGCAGCAGAAAACGAAGGTGGCATGGCAACAGACCTTGGAGCACGCGCAGAAGACGACAGGCTACCGGCCCCTGATCTTCAAGAAGTTGAGGAGGAAATCGGTCGGCTGAAGAACAACAAAGCAACTGGTGTAGATCAACTACCAAGTGAGCTATTGAAATACGGTGGTGAAGCACTGGCTAGAGCGCTGCACTGGGTAATTGCCAAGACTTGGGAGGAGGAGATATTACCGGAGGAGTGGATGGAAGGTGTCGTATGTCCAATCTACAAAAAGGGCGACAAGTTGGATTGCTGCAACTACCGCGCGATCACACTGCTGAGCGCCGCCTACAAGGTACTCTCCCAAATTCTATGCCGCCGTCTGTCACCATATGCAAGAGAGTTCGTGGGGCAATACCAGTCGGGATTCATGGGTGCCCGCGCTACCACGGACCAAATTTTCGCGATTCGGCAGGTTCTACAGAAATGCCGCGAATACAACGTGCCCACACATCATTTGTTCATCGATTTCAAATCCGCATACGACACAATCGATCGAGATCAGCTATGGCTGATTATGCACGAGTACGGATTTCCGGATAAACTGACGCGATTGGTCAAGGCGACGATGGATCGAGTGACGTGCGTTGTTCGAGTATCGGGGACACTCTCGAGTCCCTTTGAATCTCGAAGGGGGTTACGGCAGGGTGATGGACTTTCGTGTCTGCTGTTCAACATCGCGTTAGAAGGTGTGATCAGAAGAGCTGGGATAGACACGAGTGGCACGATATTCAGGAAGTCCATCCAGCTCCTTGGTTTCGCCGATGACATTGACATTATGGCACGGAACTTTGAGATGATGGCGGAAACGTACATCAGACTGAAGGCTGAAGCTAGACGGATTGGACTTGCCATCAACGCATCAAAGACAAAATATATGAAAGCAAGAGGTTCTAGGTCGGTAAAGGCGCAGCTACAAAGCAAGACCATGCTGGAGGTGGCTGGGTTCAATTCCCGGTCCGGTCTAGGAATTTTTCGGGTTGGAAAATTTCTCGACTTCCCTGGGCATAGAAGTATGATTGGACTTGCCACACAATTATATCAATGCAAAAATGGTACAGGCATCGAAAGCTCTCAATTAATAACTGTGGAAGTGCTTCTAGAACACTAAGTTGAGAGCACGCAATAAGCTAATATGCGATATGCAATAAGCTTGAAATGCGAAGAAGAAGAAGAAAGAAGAAGGTTCTAGGGAAGACAATGTTAGCCTCCCACCCCGAGTTCAGATTGACGGTGACGAAATCGAGGTGGTCGATGAGTTCGTGTATTTGGGCTCACTGGTGACCGCCGAAAATGATACCAGCAGAGAAATTCAAAGACGCATTATGGCAGGGAATCGTGCCTACTTTGGACTCCGGAGGACGCTCCGGTCGAATAAAATTCGCCGCCGCACGAAGTTGACTGTCTACAAGACGCTGATTAGACCGGTGGTCCTTTACGGCCACGAGACCTGGACTATGCTCGTGGAGGACCAACGCGCCCTTGGTGTCTTCGAACGGAAGGTGTTGCGTACCATCTACGGTGGAGTGCAGATGGATGATGGAACGTGGAGGAGGCGAATGAACCACGAATTGCACCAGCTGCTGGGAGAACCATCCATCGTCCACATTGCAAAAATTGGGCGACTACGGTGGGCTGGGCACGTCGTAAGAATGCCGCACGACGACCCAGTGAAAATGGTTCTAGAAAGCGACCCAACAGGAACAAGAAGAAGAGGCGCGCAGCGGGCAAGGTGGATCGACCAAGTAGAAGGTGACCTGCGGACCCTTCGCAGACTACGAGGCTGGCGAACTGTGGCCATGGATCGAGTAGAGTGGAGACGACTTCTTCGGACAGCAGAGGACAACAAGGCCTTAGCCTGATTGGTAAGGTAAGGTATAAGACATCAGAGCATTGAACCAATGATAACTTTCGATCCTTGCATTTAATAAAAAAAAGTTGTCTTCGGCAAAATTGTAGCTGGGAAAATTTCCTACCAGTACAGTTGAAAGCTTTTGAAGCAGACCGATAAGGTGAATTATTAGATAGACACGAACAAAAATCTTAGTTTTTCCATAGTAATTCCCATACAAACTTCAAATGGTTTGTGCCATCTCAGTTTCTCACCAAATGGGTTCAAATTTTGAGAGGTTAGTCAGGATCCGATTTGGAATCGTTTTAGTATTGTGGAGCGAAAATTTCAAATTTTGCATCACTCTAGTGTCCATCCAGCTAAACCTCCTCCTCTTTTTAGTACTTCTCGTTAAACTCCTTCTCTCAACAAGTTGGTAAATCTTAGTTTTTAGCAGAAAGACGCTTAACACTTTTTTCTGCGAATTTATGATCCTGTTTCACGTCATGGTTCTTCTCTGCATAGAAGCAGAGGGGTGAAAGTCATTTCTCTTCATCGATTTCCTCTTTTGGTGACCATGGCTTTACTAACCTATTTCGCACTATTTCTGCTATGCTATTCTATCATCCAGAACAACAAAGTTATCAATGAATGTGTTTGCCGTCGAGTTATTGACGAAACAGAAAGTCGGTGAAGAGAATCGATCAAAATCACTTGCACCCCTGCTTCCAAGTTTGGTTACAAGATTACAACTCTGGAGAGCATTTTGTGTGGTCGATGGGGGCGTGTGGTTTTTTAATTCGGCGATGAGTGTGCACAATGTTACGCAATTGCATCCTCCCTATTCGCATACGCCCGAAGATCGGAGATTTAAACATATGGGAACTGACATCCGATTGATGACCTTGACAAATGTCCAAAAAATACCCTTTAGCAAATTTATGCTGATGTGGACTGCAGCTCGCTGCTTGCAGGCAATCTTTATGGGGTGTTTACATCTGTGCGGATTTGCTAGCGCTAGTGTACTCGAATTTCAATTGCTCCTGAAATCTCATGCTGGTAGACGCTGATGTTTACATTATGCTAGTTAGCTTTTTTGCTAGCAGCTAGCTCATTAGCACTAGTAAAATAGCATAAGTGTAAACACCCCATTAGTTGTGTACTGGAGAACAATGTTCAACACCACGCGCCAAAAGCACTGCTGCTGCTGCTGATGCCGACGACCGGACACCAACACACACGGTGATTGGAACTAAATCCGATCAGCGGTTGAGGGCATCCTTGATAGCTAGCTGCTTGCGGGGAGCCTTTCGTTGTGAACTGGAAAACACCACCACTTACCACGCGGTGATTGAATGAACCCCGTTTGTTGAGACCGTGTTAGGGAAATCGTTTTTCGCAGGCAATCATTGATAATCTTAATTATCAGAGCAAAAGTTGCACATTCGTGCAATTTTCAATAGTAACATTTTGAAAATTGATAAACTCGTAATTTTAAGAGATACGTAGAAATATTTCTGATCGATTGGTGATAAAATGTTTGTAATTGGTCCAGGGGCAGCTGAGTTATTAACGTTCAAAATCTTTCATAATTTTGTTACATGTTCCATTTTCGGTTTCCACAAAGTGTACCCCCATATAGAAATCACAGACGTAGTCCTACGTCAAAAACACGTGACAACAGAATTGAGTACACGACACTCCTCGGGAGACGCACGCTATGCCCTTACTCGTTGTCATCTCCCCTAATCAATGGCACTACTCTGCCTAGAGAGCAAACAAGTGAGAGTGGTCAATATGTTTAAGTATGGAGTCTATACATTCACCCAAATCGACTCTTGAACGTTTTATTTTGCTTCCATTATCTCCACATTCGCCACCTCATACTACTAGAAGCAGCATCGAAATCGACACATCCTGCGTCGGTATTGAATAGCACCGACGCCGACGAACAGACGAACGGACGGACGGAAGGTTTTCCAATCCAAATGGAAAACCCGCACGAGTGTGTGGGGCTTCGGCGTATTCGGCGCGTATTTTGCACTAGTATGCCCGCGCTTAAGTAGTAGAACCGCCGGCCGAGGTCCAACATTTCGTGCAATTCGCTTGAGCTTTTCGGTTCAACAGCTGCTTAGGCTGTAGCTGCAGTCTTCACAAACAAAGAAACCGGGTGGTGGTGCTGGTTGTTGTTCTCCGGGAAGCCTCATCCTTCTCGCAAGAACTCCTGAACACTGTTGTTGTTGTACTGCTGAACAGAAAATCGGGTAGCGTTTCATTCTGATCCTGATTCTATTTTGTTGTGGCGCGGTGTGCTGTGTGCTGTGTGTGCGGAATACGGTTCGATTAACGAGGGGGAGAAAATCTGAGATCTGCTGCTCGTGGAGTGTGAGAAAGAGAGTGTTTTTCAACGCTTGTGTGCAAGGGGTAGAGTAGGCTGTGTATGTTCTTGAAAGGAAAAGTTTTGCTCGTCTGTACTTTGCCCGCTTGGCTCAGTCGGATTTGTAACTGCATCGTGACTAGAAGCCATACAGCTGAGAGTGTTTCCATCTCCCAGTCCCAGTGGAAATTTAATGGATATTTCTCTGATTTTACTTTAACCTTGCCTGTGTCGTGTGTTTTTTGTCCCCGAATTTTCCATCGGTATGTTTGGTGTGTGCCTCGCGGGAAGAGAGTGATTTTTTTAATTTAATTTCGATTCTGTGGTGACATTGAAACTGATGGACATATTGATTCTGCTCTTATTTCCAGGTGGAAGCCAAATTCCTAGTATTTGCCAATATTACTCTGTGATATGATCTGAGAACAAAACCGAGATCTACTTAAGTAACCAAAATTGTAAAGTTAGTGGTGTGCACAATTCCAAATCGTACAGTGCGTGAAGAGTAAATTGTTTGTGTGTGACGAAAACAAGGGAAACAAAAGAAGATGGCATTGAGAGTGGTAGGTTTATTGATTCGCCAGGAAGTGTCTGCTCTTGGCGGTAAATCGACAACGCGCATGATCAGTACCAGCACGGTGCGATCTGCACGTATTCTGAAGGATTCGCCCAATGCGCACATGAACAAAACGCTTTTGGATCGTTTCCACAAGCTGAAGTACGATCCCAAGTACGTGCAGGCCACCTACGTTTGGATTGACGGAACTGGAGAAAATGTCCGTCTGAAGGATCGGGTGCTAGACTACGTTCCAAATAAACCGGAAGACGTGCCCAACTGGCAGTACGACGGTAGCTCAACTTATCAGGCCTTGGGAGGCAACTCGGACATCAAACTGGTGCCACGAGCTTTGTACAAGGATCCGTTCAAGCCAGGACAGAACGATTTGATTGTTCTGTGCGACACGTATCAGCCAGATGGAAAGCCAACGGAGTCGAATAAACGTGCTGCTATGCAGGATGCCTACAATAAGACGATGAAGGATATACCATGGTTCGGCATTGAGCAGGAGTACACTTTTCTGGACATTGATGGCAGGCCCTTGGGTTGGCCAACGGCTGGATTCCCAGGACCTCAGGGACCGTACTACTGTGCTACCGGTGCCCAGAATGTCGTCGGTCGTGACATCGCTGAAGCACACGCCATCGCTTGTCTGTATGCCGGAGTTGACTTTGCCGGAACCAATGCCGAAGTCATGCCAGCTCAATGGGAATTCCAGGTTGGTCCAAACGTTGGAATGAAGTGTGCCGATGATATCTGGATAGCTCGGTACCTGCTGTGGCGTATCGCTGAAGACTACGGCGTTGTCGTGACGTTCGACCCGAAACCCATGGCAGGAAACTGGAACGGTGCCGGAGGTCACTGCAACTTCTCTACCAAAGCGATGCGAGAAGAGAACGGTATCGAAGCTATCAAGGCTGCCATCGAAAAACTGTCCAAACAGCATGCCAAGCATATCAAGGCCTACGATCCCCGCGGAGGAAAGGATAACGAACGTCGTCTGGTAGGCCGTCTGGAGACCTCGTCGATCGACAAGTTTAGCTGGGGTGTTGCCGACCGTAGCACCAGCGTGCGCATTCCACGTGGCGTCGCCGATGCCAAGAAGGGCTACCTTGAGGACCGGCGTCCTAGCTCCAACTGTGATCCCTACAGCGTTTGCCATGCCATCCTCGAGACCTGTCTCGTCGAGTAAAAATGCCCTTCACCCACGTTACATAACCATCAAACCCACTCAGAAACAGAATATCCACTTATTGCAATCGAGTACTTTCGAGCGCTCATGAGAGAAACATTGTATATTTTGATAAACTGTAACGTCTAAAATACATAGCATTTGTTATCATTGTGTGTGTCAAAGCGTCTATATCAAACTGAATCTGATGCAAACAATAATAAAAGATAGCATTTTCATGGATACGTAATCATGAACGGAATATAAAAGAAAAAGATATTAACAGATGTTATAACTGCCGTACACCAAACACCTATTTACAAACAAATGACAACAGGAACAGGAATACAAACAAACGAATGGTACAACCAACTGCAGGCAATATGATACAAAAGAAAGGCCGATTGTAGGACACTAGTTCGTTAGTTCGGAAATCACTGTTATTGCTTCTTTCTATTATTTTTTTTTCGCAACTCAGTGAACAGCAAGTGCCCGACGTATGCCGTCGATAGATAGAATGTTGAAGACAAGTGGGAACCATAATAACCTGGCAAAGTGTTTAAGATACGAAGTATACTGATTTGCAGAATGTTGCAACCTATAGTTTACGTTTTAGGGAACTTTGTTTTTATTGTTTCGCATGATAAAGGCAGAAGTGTTTATTTATCGCATTATTGACTGAAGTTGATTTTCTTTGTGTTTTAGGTTATTTTAAAACGTGATGAAATACAAAACTAGATTGTTAGTGCCGACCGATTGGCCGAACCTTGGCTCATCGGAAAACAAACAGATGATTTATGAATGCAAAACAAAAATTATATTGAACGCTGTAATGGATATGATTGGAATGGAAGAAATCGGTACATATAAAAAGAAAACAACAAATATCAAATTTTTTGGGCAGCGTAATAGATAAAGACAACTGTTGTAGGATATAAGTAAAACATAGTAAACAAAAATACAGAAAAAAAGATATTCATCTCAACAAACCCGCTGCTTTATTATTCATTTTATTTTTGTATCACACATCTCCTTTTACCTTTTAGCATGGCAACAGAGTCAGCGCGTGAACATTTATCTTCGGGTGGTTTGTTTTGATTGCTGTTCCGAGGAGGGTTTTTTTTTTATTCGATCTGTTTGTTTTTTTTTATTGCGTAGGTATTTATCCCCCCGTACATAGCAGCGTGCCGAACAGCAGTCGGACAGTGTGTCTCGTGGCTCAGCTGATTTGCATGAGTTAAGTTTTGAAGTCGCGGTGTTTTTCCTTTCTCCGTCGTTGGTAATTGGTGTTAGTTTCTTTGTTTTTTGATTGTGTTGGCAAACAGAAATCGAATGCAGCGTGTTGGTGCTGATCATTGACGAAATGGGAACATTTGACTAAGATGTTGGTTTTGAGGTTTTTAGAAATGGAACTAATTTAATTTGTCTAATGAATGTGCTAATTCATACAAAAACTTAAATTTGAAAAGATAACATGAAAATTTGTTCTTTTGTGGAATTTTTTTTCTATCTAAAGTTGCTCCATCCTAGAACCACTTTTGTAACCTTCCAGTAGTCGCGTAAAAAAATATACGGGCAGTCGCGTCGTATATTGAATACATGACGCATAATTTTTATTGGGATAGATGGGGGCAAGACGGTCACAGGGGGTGAAATGGGCCACCGTTCGTTTGGGCATATTATCCATGTCTTCAATCTCAATATTTTACAAACTTGTTGAAAATGGTTCTAATATACATCTCTATTAATACCATATCAAAATTCAATTATATGTCTAAGATGATGATGAAAATGCAAAATTGGCTAGCCATATCTAAAATATTATAAGATTTGCATTCAACAAAATAAGCTTAACATTGACTAAAGGGCGAACACGAAATTATTGCGACACCGAAAATGTCATGCCAATTTTCTTATAATGTTTAGAATCAAACCAAAATTTTAGGGTAGTTTTATACATATATTTACGTCAAAAATCAATGAAAAGTTAATCGATGGAGCCTTGAGTGTAAAATTGAACGCATTTTCGCTTGATGCCCTCCATCAAAGTCTTTACAGTGTCATCCGGTACCAGTTTCTCAGTTTTTTTTTTTTCATTTTCTTAACGTGTCCTTCTGGTCTTTGACTGTCTTCTTGCTCTTCCGAAGTTCCCGCTTCATTATTGCCCAGTACTGCCATAGAGGTAACTCTAAGACTAGTAGGTCCCGAAGAAACGTGCTCAACTTTTTGGCTCAGCTCTGGTACTCTCTTCGGTCCCAAGCTAATCGATTCACCCCTCGAAACATAGGAAAAACCAATAACCCCTCATTTTACCTGTCAAACTTTCATAGCGAATCAAAACAAACATTGCGTAGTACTAGAATTTCGACTAGAATGGGGTACGTTAATCGTTTGTTTGGGACCAATAGGCTAGTCAAGTAGTGAGCCAATTTAAAATCGTTAGTTTCGTATTGATTGTTGGTACTGCTCCACCGGGCGCAGCTCCGGACAGTTTGGCGGATTCATGTCCTTTGGAACAAAATGGATGTATTGTAGTATGGCGTACAAAGTAGTGTTTTTGTTGAGTTGTGCTGTGAAAATAAATTAATAATTTCGTGTGAAATAGTGGCGTGTGCCGCGAAAGGATTATTCCAACGCGTGCCCGTGGTATTTTTCTAACAGGATAAGTAGAGGAAAGGTTGCCTAGCAACTAGTTTTTGTTTAATTTTGTATTTTCCCCCCGGCGCGCTATTGCTTTTGTGTAGTGAGCTGTGGTGGTAAAATTTTATTTTGTGTTCTCCTCCCCTGTATATGTCTGCTGCTAACAGTGTTAGCGTTTAATTTGGTAAAATGGATGTGTGTAATGTATGCGAGCAGTCTATTGCTATGAGTGGGCTCCCAGTTACATGTGTAGGTCCGTGCAATGGAGCCTTCCATTTCACTTGTGCGGCACTCACTAAGACTGCGGCGAGGCTTATAGCAGATAATGCAAATGTTCTGTTCAAGTGTGATAGTTGTCTATCAGATCAGAGTTGTGACGAGCAGAATGATCTGTTACCTCTCACCCCAGCAGGCCTGGGTTCAATCCCAGTCGGCGCCACCGGGATGTTCTGAGGCATAACATCTCTGATCACGCCTTCCTTCGGATGGGAAGTAAAGCCGTTGGTCCCCGGTTCATGAGTTGATGGGTCGATAGGTAGGGTCCAGGTGTGGGAGCTGCCTTCCTGGCACGTCGGTAGCATTGGTGCTCAGCACGGAAAACAAGATCGACGAAAAAAACAAACCAAAGGGGAAAAAAAAAAGAATGATCTGATCTCGCGCGTGAAAAGGATAGAGGAAGAGATGAAAAAGCTTTTTCAACTCTCGGACTCGATCACTGACATGCGAGATCACATTGCTGCTCAGGTGGACATCGCTGTTAAAAGCGGGATGGCAGACATTAGAATAAATGTAAATGGTATTAAAACTTTAATTTGTGAGAAATTGGATAATATGAAAAGTTAATTTTTTTAAATTGATGCGGAAAACCAATTAGCTGTAAAGAATGATCAGTGCAGTTCATCTAGGACGATTCAGTCAGAATCGGACCAAAATACCAGACGCAAAAAACGTAAATTAGTAATTAGTAATAGTGATCATGATGATGATGTTGTTTTTCAAGAAAATGCGAGTTTTGCGGATGTTGTAAAAAGACATAGTCGTGCTAGTCAAAGTAAAACTAATAGTAACAGTAACAGTAAAAGTAACAAACCAGTTAATCGTAAGACTCGTCCGGTCATTGTGATTAAACCGAAAGTCCAAACAACCTAGCGAAGATACTCGTAAGTTTTTGAAAACTCAGTTGGATCCAAAAACAGACAAAATCAGTAATTTTAGGAATGGTAAAGATGGCTCCATTATTGTGGAGTGTGCAACAGGAGCAAACGTAAGTGATGTGAAAAATGGTATTGAAAGCAATCTGGGTGAAAAATATAGTGCTGTTGTTCCCACTTCGGTGCCAAGATTGAAAATAGTGGGCATGAGCGATCAGTTTTCCTCCGATGTCTTTATTGACTACTTAAAAAGTCAAAATGAAGACATCGCTATTAATGATGTAAAAGTAGTGAACATGTTTGAAAATCCACGCTTCACTTATAACAAGTTAGTGTTGTAATTGAAGTCGATGTCGATACTTATAAATGTTTGTTATGTGCGAAAAAAGTAAATGTAGGGTTTGATCGGTGCTCGATAGTTCCCGCGATTAATGTGTTGAGATGCTTCAAATGTGGAGAATTTGGGCACAAGAGCATGGATTGCAAAAATTGTGATAGATGCTCTAGGTGCAGCCAACAACACAAAATGTCGGAGTGTACGTCAACTGTATTGAAATGTATTAATTGTTTGAAAATGAATAAAGAACGAAAAATGAACTTGGACGTCAACCATGCCGCATTTAGCTCGGAATGTTTGCTTTATAAAAGACTTTTTGATCAGAAGAAAAGCAGCTTGCGTTTCAATAAATAGCAGCCAAGTTCCAGGAATGTGAATCAATTCGATTTTTTATACTTGAATATTGCGGGGTTGTCAACAAACTACGTAGCATTACGTCAGATTGTTGAGGAAAAACGTCCTCTTTTAGTTTTATTATCTGAAACTCATATTGTAGAAACTGAAGCTTTTGATCAGTATAGTATTCCGGGATATATTGTTGCTGCTTGTTTATCACGTTCTAGACACACTGGCGGTGTTGCTATTTATGTCAAAGAATCAGTTCAATTCAACCTTCGTACCAACGAAGTTATTGATGGCAACTGGTTCTTGGGCATTACAGTTGTACGTGGCATGAAGACGGGTAATTATGGTGTTTTGTATCATTCTCCCAGTTCTAGTGACCAGCGTTTTGTTGAAGTTTTAGAGAACTGGCTCGAGACATTCCTTGATTCTAGTAAATTAAATATATTGGCTGGTGATTTTAATATTAATTGGCGTGATAACCATAATTCGAATCATTTTAAGCGTTTAGCTGAGTTTTTTAATTTAAAGCAAACGGTTAATGAATATACGCGTATTTCCAGGCACAGTAGAACTTCAATTGACCACGTTTATTCCAATTTTGATTCCATTTGTTCAGTTACGGATACTGATTTGAAAATAACCGATCATGAAACTTTAGTAATTAATTTCTTAGACAGTGTTAACGATAACGATAATTTTGTAAAATTGAAGTGCTGGAGGAAATATTCGAAGCAAGCTGTTTCGAATCTTGTTGAGAGAAGCGTGGATTTTCCATTAGTTACCGGAACTTTAGATGAAGATGCAGCTGTTCTTACTAACGTTTTGAAAACTTGTACCAATAAATTAGTTGAACAAAAGTTTGTTTCTTTGAAAAACTCGAACAGCTGGTACAATTTGGATCTTTTGCGTCTTAAACGTAAGAGGGACAAATGGTACAAAAAGTTTTGTAGATCTAATAATGATAATCATTGGAATAGGTACACGGTCGTGCGTAATAAATATGCACAATCGATTAAGAAAACTCGATGTGAATATATTCAGAGGAAAATTGATCAGCATCAAAACAACAGCAAAGAGTTATGGAAAATTTTGAAATCTTTGATGAAGCCTAGTAATTGTAAATCGCGGACCATAACTTTTGATGGCATATTAGAACAGTCAGAACAAGTAATTGCTTCTAAGTTTAATGACTATTTCGTCGAGAGCGTTTCACTGATCAATCAATCTATTGAACTGATCAATGAACCGGACGAAATAAAACAGCCGATTAATAGTAATTGTAGATTTAATGGTTTTCACCCAATTACATTAGATGAACTTAAAAATATTTGCTTTTCATTAGGAAAAACGGCTGGAGTAGATAATGTTAATGCTAGAGTTATTCAAGATTGCTTTCATGTCATTCGACACACGCTGCGGGACCTTATTAATCAATCATTGCAATCTGGGCACGTGCCGCATATTTGGAAAGAATCTTTAGTTGTTCCTATACAAAAAGTTGCTGGGACGATTAAAG